AATACAAAAACAATACAAAAACAATACAAAAACAATACAAAAACAATACAAAAACACAAGTGATGAATGTAAAAAGCTGTATGTGCTCGGACTAACCAGGTTGTGTGAGTTCTTCTTTGTTGAGAAGATCTAACTCAACCTGGTTAGATTTATCTACTGGGATTATTGAGCAGCAGCAGGACCTGTGTGTGCTACATCAGGGGTGATCAATACGTTGATGGTGATCTACCGGTGAATGTCAAATGTATTCTTGGTAGATGTCATGATTAAAAAACAGACGTCAGCCGATCATGGTCCATGAAATGTGTCTCTTGACTGACAGGCAGGGCAGCCAGTCTGAGCCTCGTTTACACGACGTGCAACGTTCCGTTACAGACAACGTCCTCATCCTCTCTGAGACTGAAGGTTTCTGAGTCCTGGTCTCAGACTGGAGGGGTTCAGAGGAACCCCCCATGGGGGAGTGACATGCTCCAAGTGTGAAGCTGCACATGCACACTCCAGGCGGCTGCAGTCCAAAGTTTTTCTGCTCTAACAACAGTTGTAAAAAATAACAACAGTTATAATAAATAACAACAGTTACAATAAATAACAACAGTTATAATAAATAACATTTATAATAAATAACAACAGTTACAATAAATAACAACAGTTGTAAAAAATAACAACAGTTATAATAAATAACAACAGTTATAATAAATAACAACAGTTATAATAAATAACAACAGTTGTAAAAAATAACATTTATAATAAATAACAACAGTTACAATAAATAACAACAGTTACAATAAATAACAACAGTTGTAATAAATAACAACAGTTATAATAATTAACAACAGTTGTAATAAATAACAACAGTTGTAAAAAATAACAACAGTTATAATAAATAACAACAGTTATAATAAATAACAACAGTTATAATAAATAACAACAGTTGTAATAAATAACAACAGTTGTAAAAAATAACAACAGTTATAATAAATAACAACAGTTATAATAAATAACAACAGTTGTAAAAAATAACAACAGTTATAATAAATAACAACAGTTACAATAAATAACAACAGTTATAATAAATAACAACAGTTGTAAAAAATAACAACAGTTATAATAAATAACAACAGTTACAATAAATAACAACAGTTATAATAAATAACAACAGTTACAATAAATAACAACAGTTATAATAAATAACAAGTTATAATAAATAACAACAGTTACAATAAATAACAACAGTTACAATAAATAACAAGTTATAATAAATAACAACAGTTACAATAAATAACAACAGTTATAATAAATAAAACAACAGTTATAATAAACAACAGTTATAATAAATAAAACAACAGTTATAATAAATAACAGTTATAATAAATGGCAGAGAGCAGAGTGTTTTTGTGCTGCTCATCCTTTTTTTTATTAAGTAAACCTTGTGAGTTGGATAACTTGAGAAATAAGCAATGTACCAACATCCATCTAAACAGACACTTGTATTATTTTTATAGTTTTTATATTGCTTAAAATTATAGTTTCCTCAAATAATTGGGGTGGCCAAATCTTTGGTGGCCAAGGCCACCACTGGCCACCCTCTGGCTCCACCACTGCACCTGGTGGTGGATAAAATTGCTCTGTTGGCTTGCCAGGATTCGTCGCTGTGCTTCCTCAGACAAGAATAAAACAACCTCTGTTGTCCGCAGTGTAACTCCTACCCACTTGAACATCTTGCATAAAAAACGTTTAGGTTTTCTTACATTCTCTGTTCAGTTCCAGCCCAGAAACATGTACAGACGTTCACTGTCCAGACCCCTCCGCGTACTTCATGGTTTCAGCAGAGTGCTTGTTCATACTAGCAGGATGTTTTTTATTAAAAGAAAGGTTTTGTTAGATTCTGCTGAATGTTTGCTTCAGTTTTCCTAATCTTCATCTTTCTTTTCATTTGTATTTTTAGGCGAAATGGAGCCGTCACTCACATTAAGATCCAGAACACAGGAGACTTCTACGACCTGTACGGTGGGGAGAAGTTCGCCACCCTGGCAGAGCTGGTGCAGTATTACATGGAGCATCATGGACAGCTGAAGGAGAAGAACGGAGACGTCATCGAGCTCAAGTATCCGCTCAACTGTGCCGACCCCACGTCAGAGAGGTGAGGCTCGTGCTTTCTCCATCAGATCTTTCAGTGTCAGAGGACGCATCTGAGCTCTTCTTGAAACAACTCCTCTGCTGGTCCAACATCTCCTTTACATACTGGACCTTCATCTACGTTTTTGAACAACCTTTATTGTTCACAATACCCATGAAATACAAAATGTCATGAGTGTCCACACTCGTCTCCGGTCCATCCCAGGGACACCTGGACAGGTCTCTGGTCCATCCCAGGGACACCTGGACAGGTCTCCGGTCCATCCCAGGGA